CCAGGCTCTGAAGAAGGCGAAACCGCCGAAACGTCAGCAATTGTGTTCTAATAAATTCTATATTAACAACCTCGTGTCTGCTTATTGATGAAAAACATTGAATTATCAATTAATGCCGAGGTTAACAGAAAGTCGGTCTTGGGAATTCAAATGTACTCACTCAGATTCGAGTCCGCTTCCAAAACTGTAGATGTTATTTGAAGTTTTGTGGGAGTCAAAAGATGTTAATGGGGAATTTAATGCAAGAGACGTTTTTCTTCCAAAGACTCAGGTCGTTTAATCACAGAGAAGTGCACTGAAAACGGATTCGCTTCGGCGACAAAACAGCGGTGAAAATAAACTGTTTTCAAGTTATGAGCATATTTAGTAGACATAGGTCACAAAAATACGTAAAATTATCCCAATAAAACTTCTAGGAGTGGATAACATTATGGGCAGTGATGTGGCATCACAAGCATGTGCTAGTTCGATTCAGCTCCGGACCAACCAAACCTCTTATCCTCACGGGTCGGGAAATTGGTACAGGATTTGTCTAGGAAAAAAGCCACTCTTTGCAATCCAAATGGGAACGCTTCAGCCCTGCTTTCTCATGACTCCAAAATCGACTCGACCAGCATTCTACGAAATTCAAGATGAAGTGAAGATCCTCAAGCACCAACCAAAGCCACACGCAATAGTTGGGAGATCCTCGTGGACAATGGGTACGCGGAAAGAATCGAATGCGAGAAGTGCTGGTATCCGCATAGCAGACGTGAAGACGAGTGAAGTAAGAAGTGAAAAAATAATGAAACTGTACTACTGAAAACATCAGTGATGCAGTCCATATTTCATGCCGATATTGTTATTACTTGATACTTGAACAGCCCGTCCTCACTGGTTGTGCAGGCTCCAGCATAATCACCATTTTTTGAAGATTTGCTGGTTAAGCCATTGTTGTTACCTGGAATCCCGAGGTAAGTCTGCCCCAAGTCTTCACCATCACAGGCAGTCGCAGCCCTTGTGGATAAGAGGGAGATTTACCACCATGCGACTTTGACACCATGATGGCAGTGGATCCTGGTATTGGTTTATTCTTAGTTAGGCTTCTTCATGGAAGCGCCGGACTTCTCAGCTTGGGAGAGCCTACCTGGAGGACAATCACCCCGTTGTACAACGCAGTCCCACACCCAGGAACACCTTCCGGCCACGATGAGGCAGCAAACCGTTGGGAGGAATACTGTTATTGAACTGTAAGAATATCGTTTCAAACAAATAAAAAAGTGAGGAAGATTTTAGATACAGAAATAGTAAGTTATACAGAACAGAGGTTGCATTCAGCAAGTACGGAGATGACAAACGTGCAGAAAAACGACCAACGGGCGATGTTTGCTGTTCATAGAGGGCTTCGCATATTTTTATTCAATTCCGCAAGCAAAGAAAAAAGAAGCTTCCAACTAACATAGAAAACTGATGCACTAGCACACCACTTCGATAGAAATACTAGATAAAACTACTTAATTGGAAAAGAGATTTGAGCGTATGATTTCCATACAGTGCTCAGCCGGATGGTAGCGGTATCGATTGGAGGGGAGGGAAAGCATGCTGTGCTCACTCGTATCGCAGCGGTATCGATTGGAGTGGAGGGAGAACATACAGTGCTCAGCCGGGTCGCGGTGGTATTGATTGGAGGGAGGGGAGTGCATACAGTGCTTAGCAGGGTCGCGGCGGTATCGATTGGAGGAGGAGGGAGAGGGAGACGTGAAGGAGACCACGACGGCGAGGCGCGTGGCGGACATGGCGTCCCGACCCGATCGGCAGGCCGATACAGCGAGCCGGCAGGCTGAGGGTTCCGAACTCGCAGGGCATTTCTGTGCTCGCCGTAAGTAATGGGACGAATTCGTACCTGTTCTGGATGGTAGAGAACCAAAGGCACTCACTCCGCCCTCATCAAGAAAAAGGTGGAGTTAGGGTGGGAGGGGGGTCATCGATCACGTAGAGCAGATAACGCTCTCGATATTGTTGAGCAATGCCTGAAGGACGCGCCATGGATTCGACTCCATCAAGTGTCGTCAGAGGTGATTGAATGCATATCTATCTGGCCAGTACAACAACTTGTGGTGGCGTACCAAGGTATCAAGTCGGTGGTGCTACCCTTCCATGCAAGTCCAGCAGCTATCTATCGAGTCCGCAAGGGTGGAAGGTTTCGGTGAGCCAGGTGCGCGAGATCGAACCAAAGACTAGTGTGCATTGTAAGTCACCTTTCACTTCTGCGCTACACGAGCGGTAATCGGTCATCTATGGCTAAGATGTGTTTTCGCCAATGCTATCCTCGCAGTGGTTTCTTCCTAGATTCCTGAAGTTCAAATATTGTTAGATATCACGATTCGAGGATAGTAGAGAACTCAATAGATTTTTAGGAGAGACTTAACTTCACCGTACTGAACGTTTGTGTCATCTTTCTAACATATTTTTCACTTCAAATTTGTTTAGAACTCTTATTTACTTACACAAAAGCCGGGATTTGAAAACTGTTAGAACGAATAGCTCGAATTAAGAGCCTCGACGGAAATAAGCGAAAGAAGACTAGACTGAGCTCCAGATAACTAGCATAATGTTTTACTTTTTATCGCTTAACACCCTGCCGTAAAAACTGTAGCAGGCAGAAAATAAAAACTAAAACATGATTTCAACTACAACCTCAGCTTAACTGGGTTCAATGCCGATGTGGGCTCCCTAGATCAATCTCAATGACGGGTGATTGCTGACAGCACGAATCGATAGAACTAGCTAAGGGACAGGCGAAACGAAGGACCCACATGGTGTGGTGGTGAACGCGTTAGCCCACAAAAAGGGTGAGTAATAGCGCGTTAGTTTCCCACCGCAGACACCTGCGATCCGGAGTTTTGCAAATATCTCAGATAACTAACATTTCAACGTGGTAGACAAAACGTCTACCTGATTTACAACGATCTGTAGATTCTAATGGCAATTCACGAGTTCGTCTCGTAAAATTCACTGTAAATGAGATGCTCCTGTCTACAACTGAATGGCAAAATTCTAAACTCTGTGGTACCTGACAAACAATTTAAATAACACATTCCAGGTACTGATCGTCTGACCGATTCAGGAAGATTGCAGATATAACCGTCGTCCCTATACTTAGTGAGGCCAAAGCATCCGATGAATTTCACATATATAAATAGTTTGTTCAACAGGTTTTAAATTAGACCCACTGTTCATTTTAAACGGCCACAGCTTACAAATTTGACCCACTCAGGCTAATTCATTCTCAAGCGATCAATTATCCCACAATTGAACGTTCGAACAAAGGAAGAAGTTTGGTCAGGAGAAAGGAAGCGATTAAAGTACCATTGAGGCTGACATCTGAAGTGGCAACCACGTGAATGAATTCATCACTGAACGGCGGCATTCGCCCACGCGCTGGTTGGATCCTGCATCGGGTTCACTAAGCCCTTGATCCCTATGGAATCGGGAAATTGGTACCAAACTTGTTCAGGATAACCTCACCCTCTGTAGTACATGTAGGAAGGCCCTAGTATGACATTCTCAAGACTCCAGGAATAATCGATTTGACCAGCGTGCGACGACATTCGTGACGAAAACGAGGAAATCCTCAAGCAGCAGCCGAACCCACACCCAGAAAGTTCGAGGATTTTGGTGGACGATGGATTCGAGAAAATGAACCGAACGCAATGAACGCTGCAATCCGCACGGTGTGATGCATGTGATGTTGGGTTGTATAGTAAAATACAAAATATGTAGACATGTGAAACTTCTTAATTTCATAAGTTCATCGCATCGAAAAGCAACCACTGTGAAAACAGATACCAGCAGCAAAAATCGCTTTCGTGCGAGAATATGTTCGACAATGAACAGGAAACCAGTGTTAAGTGGATACGTTGAGGTGGTGGATAGAACCCAACGATGGACCGGCCGAATGAAGGAGCGCACGTCCTCTTGGCGCAGAGCGAACGTTTAAAACCATCCTGTCACGGTTTCGGCTATTTACTGCCAACGCTGGAAAAGAGCAGGTGGTTGTTAACCTAGATTGGCTCTTAACCGCCTTTTAGAGGGCTGGTAGGGATAACAATACGGATACGGACGCGGAGGAGTTCCTTCTTGATACAGTGGTTTCACGCACGTGTTTTAAATATCATTATTTATTCTCGTCAAAAACTCTAACTTAACTTCGCGCAAAGCAGTGCCACTTCACTAAAATTTGATGTTTCTGTGCTTCGATATACATCACACCGGCATCATAAATGCGCATTTCGGTGTCGTTAGCCGTACACTGCCGTTAACACCTCATTCGGACAGGAGAAGACCCGAACATTTCCGAAACCTTCCAGTGGTCCTAACCAACACATTGGCACGACCCTTCACTCCTCATCTGTTGGAATGCATGGTATCGAATCAATGGAAAATCTCCGGAGTTCGACCTCAAGCTTCTTCTTTGCTCACCAACACCCTTGCTTATCCTCAATTTCCATCCGAGGCGATAGCGTTATCCCCATTGTTTTATCAACTATTTCTCTTATCTGCGAGAATTATTCATAACCGTTCCCTTCAACCAATCATTAATCACAGCGCAGTTGTGGGACCGTTCCACATAAACACCTGTGTGTACTTCCATTTTCCAGTAACTTCCGTACTCAACCTTTTTCAGAGGTCACAACCCATTTAAGAGGACATTGGATTACTTCTTAGACGTTATTCTCGGAGTAAAATCCATTAACAAATTTAGTCCGCTGTATTTAAACTACGAACAATTCCACTTCTCGTACATTTATTCTTCATCGCAAACAAAGTGAGAAAATTACTAGAATCTCGTCTACAATAAAGGTCTAGTCATTCGACGTATCTTCTTCAGACAAAAGATGGTATTTGGCTGCGAAAACATCCAAACATTAATAAACCAAACAAATTATCGTAACAAACCAACATTAGAACGCAAACAACTCAATGACACCTTCGAATCCGTGTTTAAAAATAAGTACGAAAGTGAAAATCAGGGCAGAAAACAACGTTGCTCCTACTTTATTTGTGCTTAATTCTGGTTGAGTCGTCCATAAATCTACGAGGTAGACGTTTCACCCTTGGTGGACGACCACTCTCTGTATAGTCCAGCGAAACTGAACTTTGAACTGGTGGCTTCCATAAGGAGCTGCTGAAGTCTTCGAACTAAAAAGACAGCTATTCTATTTAATAATTGTTCACACAAAACAAATCAAAAGTAGCCAACATCCACTGTTTAACGACTATTGTGAAAATCCATATAAAACCAAACATGAGTTACAATCAAACAGGAAACTAAATGTCAAAAATCTAGCAAAGTTTAGAGCACTATACCATAAGAACAATAGTCAATAGTCTCGTTTCCAGAGAAAGAATGAGACATACAACTTTGCCTAATTTATAGCTAAGGAATTTCCATCCGTTCTGCCTTTTCTGGATTTGGAATTTAAATGTACAACGATAACTCAGATTTCAAAAAACGATGACATAGAGTCGAACTCAACAATTGAACTGATGTCTCCCACGGACTAGCTCTTGCCGTAGAAGTTTAATCGACCAAGATGTGCACTCTATTGAATGAAAGTTCACGATTTTTAAGAATTCCTAAAAAAAAAACTCTGCGAAGCGAAGAGGGTACGAAACTTTACTGAACGAGGTATACTCTATCTTGTTCGACGGCCTCTTATCCATATTTCGAGAAAATGAAAATTCTTCTTCCAAGAAGAGGTTCAAGGTTTCACAGGAGGTTTAGCGTTTCGAGGAATTAAACTTCACGCGTTACAATCACAGAGATGGTAGAACGAAGGCTTGAGATTAGGAATTATTAGGAATAGATTTAAACATCACATTTACAGGCGTACGAGCTGTTTGTGATCGTTTAACACACGTCTGGCATCTCGTGATAAAAACTGTTTCGGCGATTGGCAAGTCCCAATTGTTTCTGTCACTTAAGAGCAGCACTTTATTAATTTTATGTCATGACTCTTGTGGAGGTAATTCACAATGAACAACTAAGAAAAACAGATTTTGCAGAGAAACAAGTGGTTTCTCTCATGAAGAAAGGTTACTAACTAGTATTAAGCTTAAATTCATAACGAAACACATGCAAATTTCAAAAATGCAAACTTTTCGTATAACCCATGCATAAGAGTACTTGTTAAAACACTCGGGGGAAATCCCTAGAGAGGTAAGGAAAGGATAAAATGAAAACAATGGTAAAAAAAAAAGTTGAAGAGTGAAGCTCCCAACGGTAGCTTATTTTGTTATTTCCACATCTTGTTTACAAAGAATAACTACGAATTCTCCAACTTTCTCACAAAGTCTGACGATTCTGGAATTAATCAGCTCTAGAGCCTGTCGCATACCACATTTTTTGCTGCTGTGGGGACAAGTTTTTGATCGCGATAGTGGCTAGGGATTTGGGCTTCGTCCGAAAAAAAAGTGGAAACTCCATACTAAATTCTCCATCAGGAACTTGTTCTCTAAAGAATGGTCAAGGAAAAGGAGTTGTCGAACTATTTCTTGCTTTTCGTTCTTATCTGATGTCTTTAGTCTAGCAGTAGAAAGTCTCTGTAAGGGCGTCTGTTTTGAGGCTAATGTGGACTACAATTTCTGACTTTAGAGAAGCAATTTCGTCACCCATCAAAAACTTTACACGAGTTATCACCCTCAGTAAATGAAGAAGTTACGACAAAAAATGGGTAAATAAAGAAACCATTTTCTATCTGACTGAAATCTATGTTTCGAATTCCACCTGTTAGGGTAATAAAAGTATTTCCTTAAGGTGTTTTATCAATTAGACCCATTCCGAGCTTTGAAGCAGGCGAAATTTTTAGGAATATTAACTAAACTGGAATGATGTTTAAACTCGTGCCCGCTAGTCAAGAAAAGGACTTACTGATCAGAGAACAACACTTTGTTGCCTTCATAAGATTAAGCGAAGTTATTAGAAGGAACTCTTCATTGTGGCCAACATTTGGGTTCCTTCGCTTTCTTCACACCCGCAGTGACTCGAATCCAGTGTCCCCAGGATGAATTCAGCACAGCGGAATACTGAACCTTTTTTTCATGCAGGTTTATAAACACAAAAAAAAATATTCAGCATTCATGCTGTGGTCAAACCAAAAATGGTTCTCAAAAATAACGCATCAAAAACTTGAATGCACTATTTTACACGCCTTCGGAAAGATGGCGATATGAATAATTAAGAAAGTAGGTACGTGAAAAGTAAAATACGCAAAACAGCATTAAAAGTAAGAGACAAAAGTATAAAATAAAGGATAAAGCTCTCGGTGTTGATCAATTCATGAAGGTTGTACAATGCATTCGACTTCATTAAGCACCGTTTGAAGGTGATTGAATGCATACCTGGCTTTAACAATGACGCACCGCGGCCTACCGATATATCGAGCCAATGCTACTATTCTCCCAGACAATTCTAGTACCAATTAGCCAACCCCGGTGGGATGGAAGGGTTGGTGGACTATGGGCACAGGGATCGATTCCACGTGTTTTGCAGGGTGCCTCCGACCACTGCGCAACACGAGCCCCGCGCCCCGCCATAAATGTAAGGGATGGGTCATAAAAACCAAATTAATCATGGACAATTGTACGGGATGACATTGACGCAGACCTGAAGAAACAGAAATGCGGAACGTTAAAAAAAGTAGAGATTGCGCTATGAACACATATTGAGTGCAACAAGTTAACTCTCAAAAACGATGTTTGCAACTCTTCCGACTCAACGAGTGTGTTACAATGAAGAAGCAAAAGCCAACTTTTACTCTAATTGAAAACGCGAATTGGGTTACACTATTGCAATACCAACGACAAATGAAAATGGTACATATATAAACCTCCAAGAAATGTAGGACATAATTTGGGAAAATCACTGATACGTGGATATGTGAAAAAAGTTTTTGCTTTCTCCTAGGCCAGCCTACGCTCTCACGTTTTAGCTCAGACACTCCATTAATACAAGCAGAGGAATGCACAGATATAAGCAAAACTAGGAACTTCAGGTTGGCTTCGAATTCATAACTATCCTTAACGACGGCTCACGTGCTATCCATCACACCAACCGAGGCCATTGATTTTCTTTTTTCTCAACCAGTTTTTTTTTTTTACTATAACGATGCTATCAGGACATTAATGATTTTAGAGCAAGAAAAAATCATCTTAAGCAAAAGAATTATATGGCAATCGGAAAGACATTTACCTCGGTCGGTTTTCTAAAGCACTGACGGTTTTTCATGAACTGTATACATGAAAATGAACTACTTACACAAACAAGTTAATTCGCTGTACAATATATATGCATATATACATATGTATATACATATATATATACACTTATGTACGTGCATAGACGTACATATGGAAAAATTCAGTATGTAGTTTCAAACCATACCTGAAAATCTGATGGATCATATTCATATGCCACCATATGTGAGTCCTCATCACTTCGATCGTTAGTTTCAATATCATACTCATCTACTGGATATGAATGAAGCGCCGGGTAACCGTCCGATATCACTGTGCTGCCTTTCTCATTCAGCAAGTTCTCAGCGTATTCTTCATCGTTATAATTAGTGCTACGTCGTAATGTCTTCTTCCTTCCTATCCGAATTGACAATCCCAGTCGAATAGCAAGATTTCTGAAAACATAAGCATCAAAAAAGTAGACACTGGAAATAAGGCGTATGTCGTCTGCGTTTCTAGCAAAAATTTCTTAGGTCCAATACTAGAAGGATAGGAATTCATGGCACTCCACCAACCTTACATCATTTTGAGACGTGTAATGGAGGCGATTCATTGGCGGGTATTCTTTCTTCATTTGAGCACAAATATCAGTAACGAATACGTTTTGTTCAATAAGTTTTCGAAGCACGCCGCATTGTCTAGAATTATATACAGGTTTCGTTTGCAAGTTTCTAGGTTCAACTTAAAATAATATGATACCACTGGGAAATATATTAAAACAAACGAACTAAATATAACTGGAAAAACCTCAAGCCATGATAGCAGAGTTGGATTCAACGTCAAAGTAAAAGTAAGTAAGTGGATCATGACCCAATGTTGTCAACTTGTCACTTTTCACTATTATCGAACATGGTCGGGTGATAAAAACATACAAAAAGCCTGACAGCTCACACTAGAAAAAAGGAAAGGTTTCAAGACGGTCATAAGTTATCTATCGCCACAAAATTGGAACACATATGCTCTCAGTGTGAAAATAGTTTGTAGAAAATCATAGAGCAAAGGACACAAACGAACCATGACTGTATGTATCAGGGAGATGAAGGATTCATACCAACATTGTCCAGATATAAAAAATGTTCTGAAGCAAATATAAGTCATTGTTCGTACCTTTCATTTAACTTTAAAGTAGTTGGATCAAGGTCATGATAGATGTGACCGAAACAACAAGTGACGTCCATGCTTCCGTCACTATACTCATTGAGCTGAAAAACCGTCTTTTTTCCAAATACAACGTCAGTTCAAATATTATTCACCAGTATTGTAAAGCATACCACTTTACAAAAACACTTTATCGTTCCGGATTAGAGTAAAACGCGTTGCAAAGAGGATCTCCATCTTTGCACTTTTAAATCTTTATGCTGACAATGCCACCCTGTTTAATCCTCCATCTGTACTTCATACACCATAACCTGGCTCTCCCAATCTCTCTTTACAGCTCTCACTTTATGCAAATCATACAACTTGATCACCGACCCGTAAGACTGGGTCACCATAGTACGTGTAACCGAGGTGACCCAAGTACGAAGCACCTACGCTGATTTCAAAACCTTCCTGATAGGGATGAGATCACTGAAGAAAAGGACACTCAAGAGCGATACGCTGCCAACGACAGTATTCAGTGGTACCAACTGAAACAGATCCAGTTCGAGAGAATGTGGAAGGACTAATGAGTAAGCAAGTAGTTTCCGAAGTTCTCAAAAGAACCGGAGATGTAAGAAATCAACAACTCGATACTGACCAACTGAGCGAATAGCATAGAATTCGTTGTTTTAGAAAATTTTCCTGCGATTGTTTTCTGTGCAGTGTTTCACAAAGATGAACGCTTCCCAGTAGGATAGCAACATAAATATCTCAGATGACACAACACATGAAGGGGATCGAAGGTATTATGGACGAACGAGTATTAATACTAACAGATGGATGATGCGAATCAAATACAGCCCGTGTATACTGAAATGAACTAACAGGGATGATGGCGTTCCGAGAAGAACAGGAGTGAAAAGTCGAACAAGGAATACCCCATGTGAATATTTGTAGAATGCTATAAGCTCTAAGAATCCACACGACATTACACGAATCTATTCGAATACAAATACACACATCGCAGGAAGAACTGTGGACACTTGACTAACACCAGCGCGACTTTAAAAAAGGAGGCGCTGAAAAATTAGCTAAAATAAAGATTTTTCACAATAGTCTCGTCTGAGTTCATAAATAGAACAAAACATATCAGAGGCCTTTCATTCTTCCATAGGTGTACATTACCGCTGAGAAAAAGTGTCATCAATTAGTTTCCACGCAAATCTTCGAGATTAGACCAAAATTTCAAGCACAGAAGGAGAACACAGGAATAAACAATTGGACCATCAATCTCACATGATCTGCCATCAGACAATGACACAAGCAGCTTGGATATCATCCACCATTCATAAAATAGCACTTTGTCTCACCGGTAGATACCATCACAAACAGTTTTTTGATAACTCAAGTCCTATAATATTTAAAACAAAACAGGAAACACTAACTCTATAATGCAGCGCAAACTTCAGCAACAATATCACCTACACATCATTTTTGCTCTCACCAAAGGGAAATTCACCATTAAACGGCAAACAAACAAAAAACGAAGTTCAGTTACTAATGGTAGATAAAGATGTGCATACTTCTTCCATTAGAAACATCAAATATATCAAATATACATGTATATATTATAAAATATAAATATACATATAAGTACATCAAAATAATCACTTGTCACCTGTAGTCCCGTTGATCGTCGAGTGACCCGAGTGGGCGCCAGTAAATCTTCCATTTTTCCCTGCCGCATGCAAGAGTAGCCCAATGGGTTCTGCTCGCTCTAGGGACTCGTCGAGCATCGTATCTTTCTTCAAGGCTCTCTGTGAAGAACTCTGACCTAGGGTCGGTGGTCTTCCTACAGTGGATTTAACATCCCTAGGAATCCAGTCACTAACGGCTCCTGCCCATCGGTTGTCATTCATACGTATTAAGTGTTCGGCCCACCTTATCTTCGACTGTTTGGCGTACAGAACGGCATCTTTGATTCTTGATCGTTGACGCAGATCAAAGCTTCGGATCCCATCCCTCACTTGTGTGGAACGGGATACTCCTAGCATCGTCCTTTCGACTGCGCGTTCGATAACGCTGAGTGACCTTTCATCCTGCTCACGCAGCAACCATACGACGATACGACGTTAGATACGATACGATACGTTCTGACGCATACGTTAGGACAAGAAGTACCGTTGAGTCGAAAAGGTGGGCACGGAGTCGGGTGTTCTTTCTTCTCTTTACTACATCCTCGATGCTCTTGAAAGCTCCCAAACCCGCTCGTTTTCTTCTGCTCAGCTCTGGAGCTAGGTCGTTCATCATATTGATTTCACGACCTAGATAGATACAACTGGAGCATGAGATATTCGTTCCCTTAAGCGTGAATGGGGCATGCGAAACCAATACATTCTTCATGAACATTGTTTTTGTGAGATTTAGCGGAAGACCAATCCTTCCACAGGCTCTATCAAAGTCGTCAAGCATACATTGCGCTTGCCTAATGTTTGGTGTTATAAAGGCGATGTCATCAGCAAAGCGAAGATGGTGTAACTGCCGACTGTCGATTTCCACTCCCATAATATTACATTACAATGTTCGCCTGACGTTCTGGAGGGTGCCGGTAAATAATTTCGGCGAGATGGTATCGCCTTGCCTAACTCCTCTTTTGATGTCAATCCTAATATCGTTGTAGAATGGTAATATCTTGGTTGTAAAATTTTTGTACAGCTTACGAAGAATCTTTATGTACTGAGTAGGGACACCTTGACTATCAAAGGCTTCCCAGACTGCTTCCATCTCAACTGAATCAAAGGCCTTCTGTAAATCGATGAAAGTGAGACAGAGCGGTCGTTTGTACTCTCGCGATACTTCAACGAGCCGTGTGGCTGTGTGGATATGGTCAATTCTGTCAATCCTGTTTAGGATGACTCGAGTGAAAAGTTTGAAGACGACAGACAGTAAGAAGATTGGGCGACAGTTGACGATATCGTGCAGGGCACTCTTCTTGAACAATAACACGGTCTTGCTGGTCCTCCACTGAGTAGGGACCTTGCATTCAGACAGGTAACGTGTGAAGAGCCGACCCAGTGTGTATATGAGGACTGGCAGAAGGTTCATCGGGTGTTCAGATCTTATCCTGTCCGGACCTGCAGCTGTTCGATTTTTCACAAACGAAATGGCATGCCGGAGTTCGGAAAGGAGAAGCGGTAGAACATATCTCTCCTCCTTTATTTCATATGATGAAAGGTGGACGTGGTTATTGAAGAGATTTGAGTAGTATTCGTGAATGATTTTCCCCATTGCCTTTCTGGACGCCGTAACTGTTCCGTCTGAGCATCGGAGTGCAATCATCTTCGTCCTGCAATTGGCAAAGTTTCGGTGGGGCTTTGCTGATGCTTCTCCCAGCCTCTGCAGCTTCGGCCATTACTGCTGCTCATCCCTCTCTACGATCTTCTTTTAACGCCTGTCTGCATAGTTTTGCAAGTTCGGACGTCAGCTCGCGGTTGCCTGCAGCTCCTGTGATTCCACGCTAGCGCATCTGTTCCAGTGTTTCTGGAGACGTCCGTCTCTTGGTGACTTTCGAACTCTGAGCCTTCATAGCGCTAGCGTGAAGACGTTGAATGAGCCGATCGTATTCTTCGTCGAGACTGAGTTTATCATGGCGACCAAGACATGTTCGTTCCATTCCAATCCGTGGTCGCCAATGTGATGTTCTTCAGCCGTTCTTCTTGGTCCAATCTTGGCGTTGAAATCTCCAATGATAACCTTGAAGAATGTGTGGTCTTCTCTAAAGAACGCACCCACACACGCATGCATGAACTTCGCCAAGTCCATATAGAACTTCGACTTCTTCGTCATAATTTGATGTCGGCGCGTAAACGACGAAGATTGTCAAAGCCAAAATTGATCCACGTCTTTTTAATCGTAAACATCCGATTCGGGTTGCAAGTTGTTCGAATGAATCGATGTTCATGGACAAACTGGTGTTGACGAGAAAGCCGGCGCCGCCGACTCCTCTACTGTCGCATGTTCCGAGGAATAGTTCTTCTCCGGTGTCATTGATGGCGTTGAAACGCTGGCGTCTTCTCGTCTTGGCCAGGCCGATGACGTCGTACCTTATCCTTCTTGTCTGCATGAGCAAGTCTTCTATCGAGAAGTCCGATACAAGTGTACGTAGGTACAGATCGTCACCATAGTTCTTTGAAATCCAGGCAGCTTCCATTGGCCCTGAGATTTTAGCAGCCTCGCCGTGCTCGTCCTACCCAACGCTGCGAAATTGGAGGCTCTCTCGGGGTCAGGGGAATAAAGCCCGCTTTTTTTTTACTGTGTTTATCATTTTTGATACCCACCGGTATTGATCCACATCTTTTTAACCGTGAACGTCCGAACAGGGAGTCCATCCTCTGGATCCACCTGCGTCTCAGGGAAGCAAAGGTCGCTTTTGGTCCACGACTAACCCCCTATCCGCCACCTGTGGACGTGCCACGTAGCCTTGCGAGGAACCAGTTCGAGATCCCTCATATGAAGGAGATCCGCATACAAAAATTCAGGGAGATAAATAAACACATCAAAAATAATATAATGTAAATGTACATATAAATACATCAAATAATCGTTACGACACACAGGTACACCTTGTAAAAATGCTCTTTGCTCCAGCCAAATAATTGCAGTGAGGTACATGTACATGTGATCATTTATAATTTTCCTTCCTATTATTTAATCAATCGAAACCTCCTAGGAACAAGTACCACCTTCATAACCAGTCGTTCGCTTTACCGTCGGGTGACTTGAGCGGGCACCAGGAAATCTTTCACTCCTCCCTGTCGCGTTCAAAAGTAGCGGAGTGGGTTCTGCTCGCTGTAGAGACTCGATGAATATTATATCATTCTTCTGGAATTCTAGTGAAGAATTCTAATTATCGGGTCGGTGATCGTCCAGTTGTAAGTATAATATCCCGAAGGATTCAGTCGCTAACAGTTTCTGGCCATCGGTTGTTGTTCACATACACTACATATCCGGCCCATTTTACTTCCTGCGATGTGGAATATAGAACCGCGTATTAGATTTTTGATCGCTGACGTAGATCAGAGCCTTGAATTTTCTCTCGCTTGCGTGATACGAGACACTCCTCGCATCACCCTTCCCACTGTGCGTTCCACAACGCTAAATGGCCTTTCATCCTGCTTGCGTAGCGACAAGGTGTCTGACGGATGCAAGAATGCAGGAAGAATAGTGGGGCCGAAAAGGTGGGAATAAAGTCCAGTGGTCCTTTTTCTCCTTACTACATTCTCGATGTTGTTGAGAAAGCACCTCCACTGAGTCGTTCGCTTCCTCATGCTCAACTCTAGACCTAATTCGACCAATATGCTGAATTCTTGACTTAGATAGACGTAGCTGGAACATTCATAGATGTCAATTCCGTTAAACGTGGATGTGGCACACGTAATGAAATCGCTGGTCATGAACACAGCTTTTGTGAGATTTAGCCGAAGACCGATCTTTCCAAAGGCATTAACAAATCCAACAAGCATTCGTTTCACCTGGAAAAATGCTGATTGTTATAACAACAATGTCTTCAGTAAATCAGAGATAGTGTAACTGCCAATCACCGATTTCCACCCGTTATGTTGTCCCATTCCAATGTTCGCATGACGTTCTCTAGGGGTGGCGGTAAATATTTTTGGCTATTTAGTATTGCCTTGCCTAACCTCTCTCTTTACGCCGATATTAAGAACGTTATACAATGGTGATATTTTGGTTGTAAAATCTCCACACAGCTGACGAAGAATTAAGTATGGAGTAGAGGCCCTGGTCGATCAGGGTTTCCATGACATAACTGCTTCAATTTCATTAATAGTGATGACGTTCATCACCAACATGCTGCTAGTCCGATCCCGCCCAAGCCCACTAAGCGTCTCATCCGTACGGGATCAGGAAATTGGTACCAGACTTTTCTGTCACCGCAATTCAAAAGCGAACACTTTAGCCCAGTTATCTCAGAACTGCAAAGAGAATCGACTCGAGTAGCATTCAACGACGTTCATAAAAAAGATGATCATCCTTAAGCAGCAGTCGAACACAGATGCAAATAACTAGAAGACTTTTGTGGATGATAAATGCAAGGAAACAAATAGAATGCAGTAAGTGCTGGGATAATAAATTAAAAGCAGAACAGCACTATTTACTGGACAAACGTTGAATTCCCCCCAAAAAAATTCAATGAATGCTGAAAATTGGCATTTGAATAAAAGAGTGATATAGCTGTAAAAAAAAAGTACAAGTGCAAACTGAAACGAACTCGTACCCACTGAGCATTAACACACACCCACGTTTATCGAACAAGCCTTATTTAAAGCACTCAGGACACCTCAAAAACCAAAAATGTGAAACCAACCCTCAAAAATGCTGAACAGTGGGATTGGGTCTTCTTTGACGTGTAACCGCTTCGTACGGTCTTCGCTCTCCTGGGTTTGCCCGCGCGATTACATCGATAAATGGAATAGCCGGAGTTGAACGAAGTCTTAGCAGAAAACGATGTACAAGTCTCCTCGCATCGCTTATATAGCCATTCCTGTAAGACTTTTTCATCGGTAAGTAATATTAAGAATTCAGGTCCAGAAACAGTATAAATCTAAATACAGCAAAGTTCACCCTACAAGTTTTAGAGACTTTAACTAAGAAGAAGATAGCGCATCACTAATGCTACACACACAAATCGAAAAACGTTCGTGGATGGTGGATGCAAGGAAACAAAAAAGGGTGGTGTTACATTATGTATAACAGAATCAATAAATAGATGTTCCAATAGACAAAATGAATTCAAAAAATCTTTCCGAAAGAACAAATAAAGATGTTGTTGAGCTGTAAATTGGGCTGTTTGCGCAATAAATTTTGGCATACGCTATATGCAAACGATCACAACTTGCACTTCAACAAATAAAAAACATGGTGACCACGCAGAGTGTTGGATAGTCAGTATTTGTTACAACAGGATTAAGGAGAGAACAACGGGTAGAGTGAATTTGAGAAATAACAAGGCGTTCTTTCATTAACAGTATGAACATCTATAGGATTATGCGGAAACCCTTTGAGACTCGACCTCGGTTAAGAATGAGTAAACGTGGAACACCTTCGCTATTTACCCCATCCATTATCCTACTACTGAACTATGTCTTCTACTAGAAACGACTAATCTATCTGTCACGTTAAAATAAGACTGTACAAACCTTATATTCCTTCTCATTATCGAATCGATACTGTTCTACAGCAAAGTTCTGAGGAGTACCAGCAGCTCCAAGTTCAGCGTGTTTCAGCATGCAATGGAAGCACAAACTGTCGTGATTTTTGAACCTTCCTGTACACTTAGGTACAGGACAGATTACAGATCCCGTCTCCGATTGGCTTAGTTGGTCGGGTAGACGGGGCATGAATAATGGACGGGACGGGAGTTGCCTGGCACTGGCTTGATCACATCCATCCATGGACCATGTGAATGGCTCATCGTTCTCAATATCAGATTCTCCCATAAACCATACGAATGGCTCATCCTTTTCAATCTTAGATGGATTTAACCGGGTTAGTTTGTGCTCACTTGGTTCTGGACGTTCCGCCAAATGTGTACAGAAGTAGGGCGAAGTGTGCCTGAAGAAATTATTCAGTTTCGATTACATATCAACCAAAATGTGACTATATAAACTACGGAAAAGAATGGAAGAATTTATTACAATTTTAGAGACCAAAGGGCGAAGTATGCAACGTTTACCAACTACATGATATTCCAGTTTAGTTCTAGACTAAGTTCAATTCCAATTCGCTGAGGCTACGGATGTGCACACAGCATCTTGAATAGCCCATAGTCAAAGATTTGCTACCCACGACGAAGATTCCACAACAGTGGCTGGTTAGTGGATAACTAGTATAACAATTTGGCAAAAAACACCTCATTGTAAACCAAGGGACCAGTGGCGTAGTAATTCCGGTGAATCACTTATCTCATAAAATCCAATTTTGACATCTGATTTTGTAAGCGTAGGAAACAATTGGCTCCAGACAAATCGAAATCCCACAAATTCCATTTAAAATGTCACGATTCTCACGTATATTCCATTAAAGTAAATGTCTCTTGTGGTAGATATATTATCACAACAGATATAATTAGAGACAAAATGACGCGAAAAACTGTATGGAAATCACAATTTCAACTTATTATTTACTGCCTACTCTTTTTAAAATCAAGTTATATTGCAAAATATATGAATGGAAATCTACAAATACTAACCGCAATCCACATTTTTGGCAAGGATCGATGGACTTCCGCTTCAGGCATTCATTTTTAATTGTCTCCTTCAGCTCATTTATTTTCTCTTCTTTCCAGTCATGAGAGTAAATCATGTGCAGGTAGACCTCTGACGTCCACATGCCGCACACTGTACATGGACGACGTAACTTCATGATCTACAACGACGGTTAAGTAAGATTTTAAAAAAGTGCAGCGAAACCACGTTTCGCATGTCAAAACTCATCCATTATAACATTCTATTGACGCTCTGTGATTTATACTGATACTTCCTCGCGTTCGTTTCAACATCATTTCTTTAAATCTTATTTTATATAACCAGTTTTCAAGTTTACTGTGCAGATCCCTGAACTTCTGACATTAGATTCGTTCCCTCGCATTCACTGCCCACGAAGATCTTACAACTTTTACGTGTGGTTTCTGTTTCTGCTTGAAGATTTTCATTTCATCATGAATGTCGTAGAATGTCGGTCGAGTCGATTCTCCCTGGAGTACTGAAATAGCCTGACTGGAGCGTTCCCAATTGGATTGCAAAGAGTGGCTCTTTTCATGGATAAGTCCGGTACTAATTTCCCGACCCCGTGAGGAAGACAGACTTAGTTCACCCGGAGCTGAATCGAACTACACATGCTCGTGATGACTGACATCACTATCACATTGCTATCCGCCCCTTCCAACATCATTAAAATCTAATAAAGCAATCGGTTACCTTTCTAGCCTTCCTATGTTTTACAAGCAAACTGAACTCGTACAGCAATATATATGCATATATATATATATATATTCATAGAAACTACATTTATTTACAGTACTCGTCATCACATCTACTGCACGGACCCCACCACTTCTCCCATTCGACTGGTATTCCTCGCATACATCGCCCACAAAGGTTTCTCGCATTCGACTAGCATTTCTTACATCCATTACCCACAAAAGTTTTCAAAAACCTCGCAGGTTCTTTCAGCTGCTGCTTGAAGATTTCGTCTTCTTGTCTAGAATGATGGTCGAGTCGATACTCTTTACTCATTGCAATCTAGGAGAAAGCAAGCTAGGGCGTTCCCATGTGGACTGGAAGAGAGCATTAGAGAGTCGAAGCAGCATCCCAGTTCCTGATTGAATGCATCACTAACCAATCCGCTACTCAAATCTCTTAAATGAATAATGGCGAACTTTTTGCAACCAAACTGACAGTATCAATGTTTGTGATTAAGTTAGCCGAACTGGTCCCACGTATACAGAAATCGGACTTCGCCTCAAAGATACGAAATATGGTCCACACGTTAGCACACAACTGTGGTAGCATAACATGTAATTCAGAAGGAAAATAAATTTAGTTCACTAATTACACATATAATAAGCTTTTCGTTCAATGAAACATAGTTACGAATTAGTTCACTTTGTGACTATATTTCAAAACCAACTTCCCTTTAACCACGGCATGACTAACCAGTACGCATTCTTTCACTGATTAGCTAATATTAGGTTGATCACCTGTAGTCCCGCTGATCGCCGAGTGACTCCAGAGGGCGCCAGCAAATCTTCCATTTTTCCCTGTCGCGTGCAAGAGTAGCCCAGTGGGTTCCGCTCGCTCTAGGGACTCGTCGAGCATCATGTCTTTCTTCTAGGCATTTGGTGAATAACTCTGACCATCGAGTCGGTGGCCTTCCTACAGTGCGTTTAACATCCCGAGGAATCCAGTCCCTAACGGCTCCTGTCCATCGGCTGTCATTCATACGTTCAACTGTTTGGCGTAAAGAACGGCATCTTTGATATTTAATCGTCGACGCAGGTCGAAGCTTAGGATCCCTTCCCTTACTTGTGTGAAACAGGAGACTCCTAGCGTCGTCCTTTCGTCTGCGCGTACGTACGTCCCCCATATTATCCCATTCCACTCTTCGTGTGACGTTCTGGAGGATGGCGGTAAATAATTTTGGCGAGATGGTCACGCCTTGCCTAAGCCCTTTTCTGACGTCAATGATAATATCGTTATAGAATGGTGATATCTTGGTTTTTTGTACAGTTCACGAAGAATCTTTATGTATTGAGTAGGGACTCCTCGACTATCAAGGGCTTCCATGAGGTTGATGAAAGTATTTATTCGGGTGACGTTTCTTCGTCTTCCTCAGAGTTGATGATCCGAGTTAATGGTCCACAGTCAATTCGTCCTTCCGATATCAGTCTTCGTGATCGCATCGAGTTTAACCTAATAGAATGAAGTAATTTCACTTGACCATACTGTTGGTACAAAACGGTTGTTGCGTAACATATATTCCATTATTGATAAGTTAACACAGGTCTGATAAAAAGTATTCGGCATGAAGGACAGCGACGTGTGAAATTACTTCATTCGGGCGGTGCTTCCCTGGATTCCATTCGATGCGATCACGAAGACCCACAACAGAAGAAATAACTGTGAACCATCGACTCGAACCATCGGCTTTAAGGAAAACCAATGCGTTGAAATGTTAGCCGAACAAATCTTTTTATGAATTTCGTGTTAGCTTATCAATGAACCGTGACCGTGATGTACAGCGGGAGACTCATCACCCTCGCAGTGTCTGCCAAGCTAATAAGGAATCCGATGTTTCCATCGGGAAGCCCAGCTAAGAGTAAACCAATACCAGGATCCACCACCGTCCTGGTATCAAAGTGGTTCCTTGGCGGCAAATCACCCCCCGATCCACAATGGTGGCGACTGCCTGTGGTGGTGACGCTCTGGGGCAGATTTTTGCCAGGCTGTCCTCGGGACTCCAAGAAACCACAAGTGCTAAAGCAGCAAATCTCCGTGGAATGGAAATTATGCTGGGGCCCGACCAATCAGTGTAAATGGGCTTTCCAAGTATTCAAGTAAGTAAGTTTAGATCACCTCTAACGCTTCAAAAAAGTATTAAAATGGCAAATTCTTATCTGATGGCGCTGGAAAACCAACAGTCATACTCATTACCCCGATACCAGACCATTACTATTAAATGATCCAATGGAAGCGTTTTTAGCGACAAACTTTACCGTTTCGATATGAAATAAACCTAACAGTTCATCTTAGCTCAGATACCACTTAACATTAGTTCTTCTTGGTGATAACCTACTGGGATTCCCGTTATATCTAATGACGGTCCGAGAACAAATCGAATTTATCCTACAAGTAACCTGGCGCGACTCATCATGGTCAACCTGACGGTTTCCCATATGGTAGTAACACTTTGTCCCACAATCATAAATAAGGCCAGCGAAACAAAAAAAAATAAGAAAATAGACTACCTGCCACGTTGAAAATGCAGTCGATCCTATCCACACAACAGCAAACTGACACCTGTACTTATTCTAGGATGAAAAACTTTTTTGGAAAAACAAAACCTAGGCAAGTACAAAGGATAAAATAGTACATCTGGTAATTTAGTTCTAAATTCAAGGTAAAATATTTGTTTTACGGCATTGAATACAACATTCTCGACTGAGTTCAATACAGAACATAATTTCCAGAATAATATGTTAGCCTGTGCAAGAACGAATTCTCACAGCACAACTGCAAGTGGTAAAATTGGTAAAATGCCAAAATAGACATCTCAATAGTTTGCATGCATGTCCTAAATAATTTCACATATCCTTGCTCAAGTCTTTTCAGTTGATACGTCAGCAAATTTACAATTCATATGGTTTCCACGACCTCTGATCACGATAGTTACAGCACAAAAAGCCATCAAAGAAACAGCTTCACACCTTAATATATAACTAAGTACAATGATTCACACTGTCGGATACAACAACCATATTGAATGTTAACAAATATGCCAATGAATCAAAGGCGTTTATTTTGAATGGGGCCTTCGAGCTCCATAAATTCAAGCAAATAAAATCATTTGAGCACTATATATTAATTCTGGAGTAATGTCCCATACACATTGCACGGATACTGCTACATCGTACAAATCATCCGAATCAGTAGTGGTTTCGGTCCTCAGCATTCAGAAGTTCCTCATCCGGAGACAGCTATCCTATAAGCGGTTCCTCACATGGAGAGAGCAATTCTAAAAGTAGAAAGGGAAGATTGAACTTTATTGCTCGTGCAGAAAGAAAGGACAATCATTATAACACACCTCTAAGTAGATGTTTGAGAGTCACAATGCTCTTCTCTCTAATCTCAGGTATTAGCTTGTTGATCATGTGTAGCTCCTTGTTCGCCGTCTCAAGAGGATTTTTCAATTGGCTGAAAATAAAATCACATAATGTAAAGTGGTGCCAGAGGAAAGTAGGATAATAAAGTGAGAAATGGTCGAGTATTTGTGGAAGAGGTATTGCAGTAAGATAGATGTAGATTTGTAAGTATAGCGAAGGTGGATGTAGATTTATAAGTATAGCGACCATGCACCACAAATGGTGCATGGTCGCGAATAATTGAGCTCATTATCTATCGGTAGGTTCGTCAACGAGATCTTTCAGCGTATCGCTGTACTGACACTGCACACGTACGTAATCAGTACTGCAGGTTCAACAACCGGGCTATAGAGGAATGATTAACACCTCTGATATATCAGTCACAATAAATGCATACAAATATGGCTTTGGATCAAAATTCAGCTGTATCTTCATCACTATACAATGCACTCCTTCGATATCAATAAAACTGCGATGGTTACCTATTGGCTTCGCAACAAAAAACATTTTCCATATGCTTCGTAATACAGAATTTGTTCAAATAAGACTGGAAATTTCATAGAAATCCACATACCTTGTGGCCAAATCGACTGCTTCCAGGGCACATTTTTCAGCTACCAGTGAAAACAACTGAACACAGGCTGTTGTGAAAACCAGAGATAAATCTCCTCTGACTCTTCGTTTTGAAGTCCGAGTTTTCATTAAAAATATGAAGAACAGTAAAATCCCTGATGGGTAGCACATGGGTGCCCTCTGAATTGGAATCCTGAATTCGAAGATGAATTATATCACCAAACGAATAACTTTGACAGATATGGAGAATCCTGAGCATACATTCATGGTGCCAAACAAAGAACGAGATTCCCTGTTCCCTGCTTTTAAGACTCTAACCTATTGCACAAGGTAGTTCAACATCCAGAATCATTCTCTTCTCACTCCCCATGATAAAGCAGTAAACCATTATCTAACGGCACTATTTCTATGGCCATAAAAAGTAAACAAACAATGCTCGCACTCTGCTAGTGAATGCGGACGCTTTGGAAAAAAAAGTAACTTGGAAAAAAGATGCGAAAGGTAAGAAAAAATCCTGTTCCTAACAATGACAACAAGTGCTGTACCAAGTTTTACATTTTTTCTGCAGTAGATGAGCAATTGTTTTCAAAACTGGTGAAAATTAATGGCCTACAGCCCAGCGGTAGAAACAAATCCAGGGTACAGTCAATACCAGCTGACATATTCAGATAGATGACCCTCGCATTGTCTTTAAATCCTTCAATTCCAGCATAAACGGTTTAGCGCCTCATCGTGGCTCAGAATTGTTCGTGGGTATCGTGCTGCGATGTACATCACGGGTTTTCATCCCTCAGCAGAATCCCTAGAGCTGAGAAATAGCCCGGCGTTTCCATCATGAAGCCCAGACAAGAGTAGCCCAATACCAGGATCCACTACCGCCCTTCTATAAAACTATTCGCATGGTGGCAACTCTCCCTCTGATCCACAAAGGCGGCGACTGCCTAGGGTGGTGGTCACCTAGAGCAGAGTTTCGCCAGGCTGTCCTCGAGACTCCAAGAAGCCACAATGTCTGAAGCAGCAAAAGTCCGAAGAAATCGAAATTATACTAGAGCCCGCACAGTGAGGACGTGCGATTCAAGTATCCAAAGTGAGTAAATTCCTTCATCTCTAAGTGGTACGACTCTACGTGTGACCACTTTCCCATCTTACATTATCAACAGATCGGACTTTAAATTTAAATAGCTATTGAATTTTCAAAGTGATTGCCAAAAAAATTTTTAAAGAATTGATGAAGCAAGAAGTATCTTGCATACTGATACATTTTCTTCCGTACTTTTCCTTTAGTAACCAATCAAAACGTTCTTACCACAGATGTTGCGGAATACAATGATAGAGAAAAACTACATCATATATTTAAGAACATAGGAAAACCGTTCCCGGACGAGTTTGCTCATAGTGCCACAGACCGTTGTTAAATGGGGATAAGTGCATCCCGTAACGTTTCAGTGGGAAAGCACAATGACTGCTGATAAATGAGTAAAGCACTCTATGTTTCTTTTTTTTAGTTAGAAGGAGGGTCACAACGGATGATGCGTGTGGTGAATGTCAAGCAGTCCGAAGGTAACCGATGAAAAACTGGACGTATGATCATGAATTAGGCGGCATCGAGAATTACACCATGTAGGTAATGTGTTGATCAATGATATAAGTGTGCTTCGCAGTCCAATAAGACCTATCGGCATGTTACTGGTATGGGCACCACTCCTCGGTCAAATCTATTTGGTGGCGCATTTCAGGTCCATATTCTGGGAATATCAGAAACCTGATATATTATCTCGCTATTATTCTGAGCGCTAACAGATTTGCTACTGATTTAAGAAGAAGAACGCAGCGGTTGACCTTGCTGTGAAATAAATGGATATTAGGACTATATGCTTAAGAGTATATTCACAATGAATTCCGCTAAGGGCCACAGTCAACATAATACTTAAGTTTATTGAAATTCGAAAATATTTCAAATATTAATTAAAGAACAACATGCCATTAATCCACCTTCTTGCCAATATTCCTCCCTACGGTTTACCGCCTCATCGTGGCTGGGAGGTGTTCCTAGGTGTGGGACTGCGATGTACAGCGGGGGGAATCGCCACCCCCCTCCCCAACCCCAGGGTCTCTCAAACTGAAAAGAAAAGGAGTTCCGGGTTTCCATCAAGAACCCATCTAAGAGTAAACCAATACCGGAATCCACCACTGTCCTGGTATCACAGTTGCATAGTGGCAAATCTCCCTCTGATCCACAAGGGCTGCGACTGCTTGTGGTGGTGAAGGAAGACCTGGAGCAAACTTTGGCCAGGCTGATCTCGGGATTCCAGCAAACCACAGTGGATTAACCAGCAAATCTCCGAAAAATAGAGATTATGCTGGGGCCCGCACAACCAGTGAGGACGGACCATTCAAACATCAAGTTTTGCCAATATTGAATTAAGTCCGCAAATAACTAGGGAGAACTGACGGTAGAAGAATAGTGGCCTGTCCTCAATTTGGCAGTTATGCCTAGAAAAGTAAAGCAACTACTTCACACTACGCATTCCACGAAGTTTTGAGATCTTTAAATGATGGTAAATGACAAAAGGAAAGCAAATACCAACTAATAAACATGCGCAATAAATATGCAACCGAATACCCTACTCCGAACAAAGAAAACTGCAACTTCAGCCTTTGAGTCTCCAATGTGTCCCAGTCTGAAAGTTAAGATTAGTGAAGGACATTCCTTTTTAGTGGTACAATATTGTATCTACAGATGTAATTACATAACGACAGCAAACCACTCATAGATGTATTACATTTCGTACGCTCTAGAATCTAACAAGAGGCAGATCTACCTTTTCCACCACAGTGAAATCGTAGGTTTCCAGAAGTCGTAGATAATTTTATCTTCCACTTTTTTCTCTCTTATGCTTGTCGTTCGAGTTGGGGATCGATCAAGCAAGCGGCATCTTATCCACGTGGGACCATCCCGATGAATGGAATGTCTAATAAAGGTATTAGTAATATGTCAAAACTTCATTTCATATACCCCTGCATGTAACAAAGCTGGCTGACAGAAAGGCAAATTAAGGTCCTCAGTGGTGCAGTGGATAACATGTGAGCTTCCGCGAAAGGCTGATCGCGGGTTGTAACTGAGTTGTTTGTTCACAAATATGTCATATGTTAGGTCCTCAGACAACTCAGTTATCTTAAAACCTGTGCGGTTGTCAATGAATTAAATGCCCAACAAACTTTTGAAAACATACCGAAAATGAAACTGTCTGTTGAGATAAGTGACATCGACGGTGTCCATATAAATAAAGTCCACGTTTCGAGAACCAAAAAGGGTCCAAAACATGCAAAACTTAGATGATTAAGTGCACTGCAACCAATGGTAGGAAAGACGAAGTGCATTAATGCCAACTTACTAAATTTTCTTCTGCAGTTCACATACCAATCCACCTGCACCAACAAGTACGCCTCTGTGCACTGTGTATGTGTACTGCCTCAATACTCTTCAACGATAAGGTGCCAACCGTATGGTAGCCATGAATCAAATATTCCAACCTTAGAATGACCCGGATGGTGTGGAAGACGACGAATATCTCGCCACCTCTCACTGGACAAGGGATCGAAGCAAACCGAGTCTACCATTCGAAAATAACCTGCACAGATTTGACAACAATACCATGAACAGAAATCAACTAAATGGGTATGTATGAAGTATAGTAGCTATGGAAAACAAGTAAAAAAATTCGATTAATACGTAATATGAGGTTGAACAGCACATTCACCTGAGGTCGAAGGTCGAGCTAAGATTTATTTCACATAGCCTAATAACGAAAAATCAAAAGATAACGACCGGTTTATGTCTCCAGCACCACTTCTGTGCTCAGCTGTTTTCAACGCCTCTTTTGCAGCACGAAGACCACAAATACGCCATTCGGTGATAATGGGATTAGTTACACTTAACGGTGTCACATTAACAGAGCCGAACCTCTGTGGCTGCCTTCGCGGAGCTGCAGGACAAGCGAGCAGATTTTAAATGAACATCTGCATAACTGCATTCTTGGTGAGATATCTCTACTTCAAAAAGGAAAGCATTTAAAGGGGAACGTACACACATTCATCCGTTCATACGTAAATAGTAGTACTCACGGGCACCTCCTCGATCTTGTGCAGTCAGAACGCTTGGAGTTACCCATGGTACTGAATACACTTCAGTGGAATTGGATGTAGAGAACTTATACTAAATTATACCACAGCAATGAGAACAATGCTACGCTTTTTATAGCAAATCCTCACAAACCTTATCCCCACCGTGACTGACACCGGGAGCAAAAATTTGGGGCCCTCTTGAAAGTAAATCACACCCAGTGATCATGATCATAAGATTTCTGTATACACTGTCTAGATACTAAATATACAAATACCAAAGGCGTTCAAAAAATACCACAAAATATACCACTTGATACTTAAACAGCCCGTCCTTACTGGTTGTGCGCGCTCAAGCATGCAAGCAAAAAGTCCCAAAGATCCTAAGAATCTTAATCTGTGTATCCATTTTGATATGGACGTCACTACAAAATAGAAAAGAAACCTGCCAGAATAGTAGAAAGTGCCATCTGTTAAGCTCAGGACAAGACGAGATTCTGGCCAACCAGGCATTCCTTCATCAATTTTCTCGCAAGTTATTATGTATTTTGTGTTGCTACAGGGATGACACATAACAGAGGGACTCACCGAAACATGGAGAACTGGAAGTTCCGTGCTCTTTCCACCACTTCTAAAGTGTGCTTTTTCCTTCTGAAATCTAAAATGTGGACAAATAAAACTCTTCAAAAAGTTTTCAAAGATTCTTAATATGCAAAGATTATGAAGACCTCAGATACCTGGAAGAATCCAACAGAGAGCCAAAGTTCACCATCTACCCACATCTACGTTGTCCTGGCGTAACAATGAGCGCTGTTGTCATTTCTGAAAGAATCGCACTAAACATCACGCCACATGCCAAACATGACTATGAAAGTACACGAAAGAGTTATGGAGAGGTAACCGGTAGCGTAAAGCTAACGAAGTAATGAGATGGTGCGATAGAACGGACGAATGCGTTCGTAGCTTCGTTCCGTATCCTTGGGTTTTGGACCTGAAATCAATCAGATGTATTCGAAGCTTTAAACGCTCTATATCAACGGTGTGGCCGGTGTGGCAGCCCTATACGACATCGTTGTCGAAACAAACCACCACCATCGACGTGCCCGATAAAGCTAAGATGACCTGTACAACAAGCACTCACTACTCTTATTTCGACAGAAGAACATAGACACCTAGTTAAGGGCTTTCACGACAAACCTTATCACATAAACCACTAGGCTCCTAATGTCGGAACGCACTTCTTCGATCTACCTAGTTCTCTTATTTGACCTTTATTTGGCTTTTCTAGCACCTCTAAGACTATGAAGACAGCAATAAATGTTTTTTTTTGTATCCAAATAAACGGAAAAGGTGAATGCCGCACGTGTAACGCAGTTGTTAGAGGCGTCCTGCAATACACACAGGATCGACTGTGCACAAGACTCACCGAGCCTTCCATCCCTCCGAAGTCGGCAGTGGTACCGAACTTCTCTGGGAGGGTAGCAGCACTAGCTTGATGCATCGCTAGGCCACCACGAGTCATTGTAAAAACCAGATATGTATTCAATCTTCTCCAAACGATGATCAATGAAGTCGAATGTATGCCGCATCCCTCAACGGTTGATCAACATCGACAGCTTTATTCTTTCCATCTTTCGCCAAACAAACACCAACGTTCGAAATAGTATGAACCACATATGATTCAAATGACGCTAAAAAAGAAACATATTGGAAGAAATCTATTCGAAATTTGAAAAATGAGCACGTGACGCAAACTTGTGCGAAGCGCGTGCATTCGGCGTAATTGGCGGGAGTCGATAAGAATTTGAATGGTAACATATGAGAGGACTGAATTCGGAGCCACGTCGTGATATTGTCGTTCACGGATTCGGAATTTCCCAGTTCAAAGCACAATCTGGGAGATTCTTGACGTATATCCTAGATCTTACTGCCGCACAATACATTTAAGTCTTTCATGACCACAACTCTTCTCACATGTCAGGTCCAACCGATCGTGTGTTAATGGAGCTCAATCGGAATGCGCATTGACATCAAGTTATACGAGCTATGAGCCCTTCCAACAGTCATGGCACACCAATGCTTGAACTTAGGTAGTTAAACCGTTTGTAGCAGTAACAATACCATAATAACAACATGAGAATATCATAAGTGTAGAAGTGATGAGCAGATAAGAGGACGAACAAGCGAGAGCAAGATGATGAATGAGAAATTACCTTTGAGATAAGACAGCATCTTGCACATAGACTGGTGGAGCACAGGTGTCACAAAAAATGTGGTAACGTACAAAGGGTTTAACACTGCAGGACGCAAGTGTGAGGATGTAGTAACTTCAACTTAGAGTAATAATGCGATGACGCTACCATATGTAAAAACAGCGTAACTATTAACCTGGCCACTATATATGCACTGGGGAGGAAAGATTTGCACTAGCAATCAGGAAGAGGGGTCTGCACAGAGACAAAGTACTTTTTTAAATTGTTCTACGACCCGTCTCCACGTCTACTGTGCGGACCCTAACACTTCTCATATCCTATTCGTTTCCTCGCATCCATCATCCACGAAAGTCTTTCAACTCCAATGTATGGCTTCGATTGTGATCGAGGACTTCTCATTTCATTTTTAGTGTCGTAGAATGCTGGTCGAGTCGATTTATCCTGGAATATTGAGATACAGGAGATGGACCGCTCTCAATTAGGTTGCAGAGAGTGGTTTTTTCCCGGTCAAGTTCGGTACCAATTCCCTACACCAGAGGTTTTACACTTGGTGAGCCTCGAGTAGAATCGAAACAGCACCTTGCTCGTGATGAGAGACACCATTACCACTGTGCTATCCTCCCCTTGAGACAAGGTATTAACCAGGATACATCACACAAGTACGTTAACGGACATTGCTGGATTTAGGCGCAGTGGAATGATAAGTAAATGAATTGATGTGGGAGTAGTGAATGGATTTTGTAGAGTATTAATAGCAAGCGCAAATATTTGAGACTGTTGCTAGATTACCAACGCATAGCGGTTACATAAGGATTTACAATAACTTTAATATGTTGATGGCGCAGGTGTGCGAGTCGTACTCAACATTACAAAAGCCGACTTTCGTTAAGTCTCAGCATGACTCATCAATACATTAGCTGAATAGTTTTTTTCATCAAACTTGTGTCAGCTGCTCACCGAAAGGACACATATCGATTGGCTAGCATTTTTATAATATATGCAAATCGAAGAGAAAGTGGATAAATAACATCAAACGGGTTAAAGAGGTGCCGACGATTTCTGTTCATCATCTGAAGGCAAACTGCAATGGTTTGTACGAGAGTAAATTTTAGGCAATATTTGCACATATGGAAATGTATAAATAGAAGAAACCTCAGCGTTTTCAACCACTGAAATTTTAGATGTTTACATGGAAGGATGCGAAGATGTGAAGGTTTGCGGCAAGCTAATTTCATCGCGTCACGGCAGATTTGGAAAAGTACATACAGTTTACAGCTGCCCATCAAGTCAAACTATCACACAAAGGCGAACAGTCCTTACAAGAAAATGTTTTGTTCGCACTATGGCATGTATGAAAAGCCTTTGAATCGGGTAAAATGCAAAAACTTCCCACGCCTTTAATCACCTGTATCACAAGTCGTCCAGTTTGTCATGGAGTGACTTAAGCGGGTGCCAGATTAGCCTTCAATTTCTCCCTGTTGCGCACAAGAGTAGCTCAGTAGATCCTGTTAGCTCTAGAGACTCGTTGACCATCATCTATTTCCTTTACGGTTTTCGTAAAGAACTCTGACTATCGGGTCGGCGGTCGTACTAGTACATTTGATATCCGTGAAATCCATTCACTAAAGGCTCTTGTTTTCCCGTTCTTGCTCATACTCATTGCGGTCCGGCGCATCTCATTTTCGACAGTTTAGTGCACATAGAAAAGCGTCTTCGACTTTTAACTGTTGACGTAGGTCGACCTTCGGATGCCCTCCTCAGCTGAGTGATACGAGATACTGCTAACATTGTCCTTTAGACAGGGCGTTCTATAACGCTGAGTGATCCCACATCTCGCTTACGTAGCGACCAATTTCTGACACATGCATTAAAGGCAGACAGAATGGTGAAGTCGCAAACATGGGAGCGGAGTCAAGTGTTCTCTGCCCTTCTCTCTGCATTCCTCGATGCCCTTGAGAGCTCCTCATTCCTCCTGCTTCCTCCTCTTTCTCCTGAAAACCGATGGTCAGCAGTAATATCATCTTCGCTCTGGTGATGACATCGTCCTTATAACACCAAACATTAGCCAAGCGGAACGAATACTGGCCGACTTTGATAAGGCCTGTGGGAAAATTGGTCTTCGACTAAAACTCACAAAAACGATGTTCATGAGGAACGGATTGGTTTCGTATGTCCCATTCACACTCAACGGAATGGATATCGGCAGTTACCAATGTGAATGGTCCAGTTATGTCTATCTAGGTCGGGAAATCAACGTGTTGAACGACTTAGCTCCAAAGTTGAGCAGAAAGGAATGAGTGACTTGGGGAGCTTTCAAGAGCATCGAGGATGTAGTGAAGAGAACAAAGAACACCCGATTCCGTACCCACCTTTTCAACTCAACGGTACATCCTGGCCTAACGCATGCGTCAGAACCCTGGTCACTGCGTAAACAGGATGAAAGATCACCGTTATTGAACGCGCAGTCGAAAGGACGACGCAAAGAGTATCCCGTGTCACACAAATAAAAGAAGGGATCAGAAATTCCGACTTGCGTCAATGACCAAAAATCAAAGATTCCGTTCTGTACGCCAAACAGTCGAAGATAAGGTGGGCCGGACACGTAATGCGTATGAATGACAACCGATGGGCAAGAGCCGTTAGGGACTGGATTCTCCGGGATGTTAAACGCACTGCAGGAAAGCCACCGACTCGATGGTCAGAGTTCGTCACGAGAAGCCTAGAAGAAAGGTATGACGCTCAACGAGTTCCTAGAGCAAGCAGAACCCACTGGGCTACTCTTGAACGCGACAGGGAAAAAATGGAAGATTTAATGGCTCTTGCTCGAGCCACTCGACGATCAACGGGACTACAGGTGATTCAGGTGACAGGTGATACGTTAAGGCAGGCACAATGGTGAAATCGAAAAGGTAGGCACGGAGTCAGGTGTTCTTTCCCTCCTCGCTGAATTACTCGACGTGCTTGAATGTTCCTCAAACCGCTTGCGTGATACGAGACACTCCTCGCATCACCCTTTCCACTGTGCTTTCCACAACACTAAATGACCTTTCATCCCGCTTGCGTACCGACCAGGTGTACGACGCATACCACTCGAGGTTGTTGAGAAAGCACCTCCACTGAGCCGTTCGCTTCCTTATACTCAACTCTAGACCTAATTCGACCAATATGCTGAATTCTTGACTTAGATAGATGTAGCTGGAACATTCATAGATGTCAATTCCGTTAAACGTGAATGTGGCACACGTAATCAAATCGTTGGTCATGAACACAGCTTTTGTGAGATTTAGTCAAAAACCGATCTTTCCAAAGGTATTAACAAATCCAACAAGCATTCGTTTCACCTGGAAAAATGCTTATTGTTATAAAAACAATGTCTTCAGTAAATCACAGATAGTGTAACTGCCAACCACCGATTTTCACCCGTTGAGTAAGACGAGTTCGGAGAGGTTGCTAAAATTTCAGGGCCGATGGAGGCTGCCTGGACCGCAAAAAAGTAAGGTCGCGATCTCTACCTAAAATGCACGTATACATGCATCCGAGTACTCGGTAGAAGACTTGTTCATGCAGACAAGAAGGATAAGGCACGACGTCATCGGCTTGGCCGAGACGAGACGACGCCACCCATTCAGCGCCGTCTATGACACCGGAGAAGAACTGTTCCTCGGAAAATGCGACAGTAGAGGAGTCGGCGTCCGTGTTCTCGTCAACACGAGTTTTTCCATGAACATCGATTCATTCGAACAACTTGCAACCTGAATCGGACGCTTACGATTAAGAAGACGTCGATCAATTTTGGCTTTGACAATCTTCGTCGTTTACGCGCCGACATCAAACTATGACGAAAAAGAAGTCGAAGCATTCTATATATGGACTTGGAGAAGTTCTACACAGATGACCACACATTCTTCAAGATCATCATTAGAGATTTCAACGCGAAGATTTGACCAAGAAGAACGTCTGAAGAATGCCACATTGGGGCCAATGGATTTGAATGGAAGGAAGAGTGTGAGCAGCTTTCTGAGTTTATCATGGCTACCAAAACCACCCATGGTAACTCGCAATCCCAAAAGCCCCACCCTCAACACTGGACGTGAGGTCTCTCAGTGGAGAACACTATAACGAAATAAACCGCATAATAGTAAACCTAAGGTTTTGCCTAACCGATGTCGCTGTTATTCCAAAATTCCACACGGGATCAGGCCACAACCTACTTCGTGCAAGATTCCATTCCTTGCAGAAAGGAGAAAAAGCCGCTAATTCGAAAAATGAAGTCTCGAAACAACTATGAACTGGGACTTGATCAATTCATTAGTCGGCTGTTGGGAAGATGCCGTTGTCGATAACATCGACGAAGAATACGATCGGCTCATTCGACATCTTCGCGCTAGCGCTATGAAAACTCAGAGTTCGAAAGTCACCAAAAGACGTCCGTTTCCAGGAACTCTCGATGTGATTCGCCAGCGTGGAAATGGACAAGCTACTCTCAATCGCGAACTAACGTCTGAACTTGCAAAACAAGGCAGGTAAGCGATGAAATAAGATCATAAAGAGAGAAGAGAGAAGAGAAGGATAAATGGTCGAAGCTACAGAGGCTGGGAAAAGCATTCGCACACCCCACTGAAACTTCGCCAATACAAGGCCAAGATTGCACTCTGACGCCCGAACGGAACAGTTACAGCGCCCAGAAAGGCAATGGAGGAAATCATTCACGAATACTACTCGAATCTCTTCAATAGCCACTTTCACCTTTCGTCATATGAAATAAAGGAGGATGGATATGTTGTACTACCGCTTCTCCTTTCCAAACTACGACATGCCATTTCGTTTGTGAAAAATCGAACAGCTGCAGGTCCGGACAGGATAAGATCTGAACACCCGATGAACCTTCTGCCAGTCCTCATATACACACTGGGTCGGCTCTTCACACGTTACCTGTCTGAATGCAAGGTCCCTACTCAGTGGAGGACCAGCAAGACTGTTATTGCTCAAGAAGAGTGACCTGCACGATATCGGCAACTATCGCCCAATTTGCTTGCTGCCTGTCGTCTACAAACCTTCCACTCGAGTCATCCTAAACAGGATTGACAGAACACTGGACGATCCATGTGAGCAAGCAGCGTTTCGGAAAGGATTTAGTACGATGGACCACATCCATATGATAACAAGACTCGTTGAAGTATCGCGAGAATACAGAAGACCGCAATGTCTCACTTTCATCGATTTAAAGTAAGCCTTTGACTCAGTTGAGATAGAAGCAGTCATGGAAGTCCTTAATAGTCAGGGAGTCCCTACTCAGTACACAAAGATTCTTCGTAAACTGTACAAAAATTTAACCACCAAGATATCACCATTCTACAACGAAGTTAACATCGATGTCAAAAAAGGGATTAGGCATAGCGATACCATCTCGCTAAAATTATTCACCGCTTTCCTACAGAACGTCATGCGAACATTGGAATGGTAATATAGGAGCGAAAATCGATGATCGGTAATTACACCACCTTAGCTTTTCTGACGACATCGTCCTTATAACACCAAACATTAGCCAAGCCCAGTGATTGCTTGCCGACTTTGATAAAGCCTGTGGAAAGACTGGTCTTCGACTAAATCTCACAAAAACGATGTTCATGACGAACGCATTGGTTAAGTATGCTCCATTCACGCTCACCGAAACGAATTTGCTCCAGTTACAACTATTTAGGTAGAGAAATCAGCACGATGAGCGACTTAGCTCCATAGTTGAGCAGAAGGAAACGGGCAGCTTGGGGAGCTTTCAAGAGCATCAAGGATGTGATGAGGAGAACAAATAGCACACGACTCCGTGCCCACCCTTTCAACTCAACGGTACTTCCTGCCCTAACATATGCATCAGAAACCTGGTCGCTGAGTAAACTGCTTGAAAGATCACTCAGCGTTACTGAACGAGCAGTCGAAAGAGCGAGGCTAGGAGTATCCCGTTCCACACAAGTAAGAGAAGAGATCCGAAGCTCCGATTTGCATCAACGGTCAAAAATCAAAGATGCCGTTCTGTGCCCCAAATAGTCGAAGATAAGGTGGGCTCGACACGTAATGCGTATGAATGACAACCGATGGACAAGAGCCGTTAGTGATGGATTCCTCGGAATATCAAACGTACTGAAGGAAGACCACCCGATGGTCAGAGCTCTTCACAAAGAGCTTTGAAGAAAGATATGATGCTCGACGAGCCACAAGAGTGAGCAAAACCCACTGGGCTACTCTTGCAAGCGAAAAGGAAAAATGGAATGTTTACTGGCGCCCGCTCTAGTCATTCGACGATTAAAGGGGCTACAAAACAGAGTACAGTGACTTTTCCTCATTTCAGCGACGAATAGAATCCTGCATGGAAGAGGCGATGGTCTGATCCGTTGTAGAATTTTGCAACAACAGCGATATAGTTTAATGAAAACCTTCTGTTTACTATGATGTGGCCTTTTTCGTTATGGTACTCTCCAAGGACAGACTTACTCGGCCAGCGTTGGTAGTGGGTCTTCTGGAATTGCGAGCTACCATGAATGGTCCTGGCAGTGAAGACAAACTCGGACAGCCGCTCACTCTGCTTGTTTCATTCTAATCCGTGGGTCCCAATGTGACGTTCTTCAGACGTTCTTCTGTGTCCAACCCTAGCATTAAAATATCTAACGATGACCTTGAAGAATGTCTGGTCTTATTTGTAGAATTTCTCTAAGTCCATATGGAACGCCTCGCTTCGACTTCGTCTTCGTTATAGTTTGATGCCGGTTGGTAGGGGCAAAAATTGTCGAAACCGTTATTGATCCATGTCTCTTTAACCCAAACGTGTTTTTACTCATACGATCAAGTTCACTGTTGGCGCAGTCAGATTCAAGCGACCGTGCACTGTTGGTGCAGGTCGTCATATTCGCACTTCGAGTCTTGAGCAACCTACAATGGCTCTGAGATTTTGGCAGTCTCTCCGTACCCGTTTTGCCCAATGCTGCCGTATCGTGTGCTTTTTTGGGGTTAAAGGAACAAGAACGGCTTATTTTCTCGTTATTGAAAATATTTCCAGTGAAATATTCGCTGTTTTTCACTTGATAATGTTTGTTCATGCATTTCTATTCGTCACCTTACATCAAAGCTATTGTATCATAAAATACTTGACACATCGCCCGCGTGCCTGCCACACAATCACATTCTTTCTTAACCATCGGGCACGTCTCTACGGCTGGCAACAGTTAACCATCAGCCACGCCACTGAGCAATGAGCCGTGTCCGGTAGCATGGTTGCATGCACGCAGTTCAGGCCAGATATGCATCTAACCACGTTTATAATGCTTCATAAATTCGAATACATGGCACATCCTTCAACCATTGATAAACGTCGAACACTTTCTTTTCTTGTCACAAAAGGTGTTTGCTAGACATTGCCTTCTCACCTGGTCCAGTCTGATAACGTCGTCTGTGATTTTCTTAGCTTGCATCACCAAGCCCTCAATGGAGCATTCGTACCCACGGGTTGCGTACAAGCGTTTTTTTGTTGATAAGCTAAAGCGAGTTTGATAAAGAAAAGCTTTATTCGGCAGTTGTTTTGACGCTTTCGCCATCTTCAGAGGCGGATTGATCGTACTCGATTCTCCACTGTTTTTCCTTCTACCGATGTGCATCTTCGTGATGGCTTCGATTCGAATCCGGTGGGACGCTGTCACAATCAAGTAACCTCAGGCAATGCCCTTTTATAAAGGATGGTTATTGATACTGATTACCCGTCGGTAACTGTTTGTTCTTCTTAGGGCAATCCACCCTGCAGTAGTAGGTATGATTGCAGCTAACACAGGACGTAACAGTATCCCAAAAACCGACTTTTGTGTACATCTAGTTTGCTTGAAAGTTCGAAATTTTGGTTTGACAGTAAGTTTATGT